CACACACACACGCCCACACACGCCCACACACACACACACACAACACACACAAACACACACACGCACACACACACACACACACAACACACACACACACAAAACACACACAAACAACACACACACACACGCAACATGAAATTGAGCTAGATATGAATATGCTTTGCATGTGCCCGGCTTCGCAAGGCCGCGAATAAAGTCCTGACAAGGGACGCCTGCAAAGGCAAACCCGAAGCCCTACAGTCAAATCATAAGGGCTGGTGCGTAGGTAGAAGGCTCGGCCCCATCCCGACCAATGCGTCTGAAACAGCCCAAAGTATGGCACCTCCGCTCCGGCTGCTGCTTTGGCCTGCTGGGCAGCTCGGGGACCCGGTGTAGCATCTATACAGTACAAAACGACGCACAGCTTCAAGCTTTTGTAGCTTGATGTGTTGGGTCCAGGCATGGGTATTCGAATAGCAGATCACCTCATAATATGCTGGATATCGCTGAATCTAGGACCATCCCCGTGGACAGAGTTCAAGCAAACACGTGAGGCCTGGAAGGTCCGAGTTTCAAGAAATCCCAAACACTTTACTCAGAGTGCTTATTGGTACACAACGTAACCAAAAGTGCTTGGGCGCTTGGACTCCTAATGATAAGCTACCCAACTGCAACTTCCAGCATCTCCATGCTGCCCAAATGCCACTATGGCGGCTGATTAACATGATTGAAACAAAGATCGTAGAAGGGAATATCGCCGAATCACTGAACTGGCCGAGTTGCAGAACGACTGCATCTAATCAAACAGCACCGAAGCAACATCGACAACACCCGACGCAGCAGCTCTCCAATCTATGCCCCGAAATGGCAAACCCCACATGCCAAAGTGCTCATGGCCTTGCCCAGGTGTCCGTAATTATGAGTTGGCCAGAAAGGATTTCGTGTTCGAGTTCAAGACCCAGCTGTATTCCGATAAAACACTTAACGCCTGCAGGCACTGCCGAAATCGCATACCAGATTTCGCGTCAGAAGCAAACCTCAGCCCCAGACTGCAAGGGCATTTAATCTCCTGAACCTTAAATGGTAACATTCACATTCTTGAATCCTCAGCCCACAGATCCCAAGAACCTCAAAGCGAAACCGTAAACCCAAAGCCAACCCCAAAAATCCAAAAACCCTAAAGCTCCAACCTTGTTCCTGTCCTCTGCTTCGAGCACCGCGGAGACTTTGTCCAACAGCCTCGCGCACAATCTTGCCCTGGAAGCCCCTTTACCTACGCAGCGGCCTCTAAGCCTCAAACCAGACATACAATTTGAATAGTACCAACAACACAGTAATAGACTATCTAGGTAACTTTGCTTCCAGGGTTGGTTTGGGGTTTTCAAGGAGGCTTCGGTGTTGGAGTCTGCTAGTCTCTTCTGTAGTCTCCCACTAGTGGCTTTTGGAAAGGCTTTGGGGTACGTCTGGTCTAGGGAAGGGGACTGAAGCCTCAGGCTTGAACCTGCAACTGAGCAGGGGGCATTTGATGTTTAAGGGTTGTGGGCTATGTAACACAGTATGCTCACTAAGGTTAAGATGTATTTCCACTACTTATTCACGCCTTTAACCTTGCACCACTGCTTTAAGGCTTGTCGCTGGGCTTTAATACTCGGCCGCAAGCAGGCTGCAGACCTCCGGGCAGTCTACATACCGAGCAGTCCGGGTCCGAGGTCCCGAGCCAAAAAACCGAGCCATTTGAACCCATGGCCTAAATGAGTAAACGACACGTACGGCTATCCGGGGGTCCCCGCTACTGGCCACTGCTGTCGCTTCTTTGTCTGCAAGGACAGCTAGTTGGGAATAACTGTTGAAATTGATCTCAGCGGACTGAAAGCCGCTGCAAGCCCTACAAACCTTTTGAGGCGCCGGACAACACCGAATAAACAGGCCCACCAAAACCCCGGAAGCCCTCACATACAGCCAAAGAGTCCCACCTCACCCAAGCCTTCGTTGTAGGCTCCTTCGCCATGGTTATAGCAGCTTCTTCCAAAGACTGAACACTCACAACAACAAGCTTTCAAGTTTAGGTATGCAGGTTTAAGAGTTCCGAAGCGCGCGAAATAAGGAAACAAACCTTTGTGAGTCGAGCTCTGGCCGTGAGGATGAGTCGAAATAGCATTTAAAACATTGAAGCTCAGATTTTGAAACTAGGGGCCGCACTAAGCACAATGGGGCTTAGGAAGACCGTTGTAGTAGAGTCCTAGAGCCAACAAAGGGACCAGAAAGGGATGGTGTTCCCATTCAGTCAGAAGTCTGATTGGCAGTGATTTTCTGGGATCGGTGCAGTGCAACTGTCTTGTTTCTGCAAGCCGCTGGCTAACACCTGGAGCAGTTGAACCGAGAGCTAGCCCTGGTGGGTTCCACAACGAGAAACCTACCAGTTTCCTTGTGACCCGTGAAGCAACATTGGTGATACATCAAACTGCCGGATCGACAAGGGCTGCCTGCACCCAAGGATAGCTTTCCACGTTCTTCACCTACCTGCTTCACCTCCAGTTCATGTCTGGACGATATCGGGCGCCTTGAGGTTCTTCTATGGTCGAAATCAATAGCATATTTCGGTGTCCTGACTCCCAGTTTGCTCACTCACCAGTCTACAGAGCCCGAAGCCCCCTGAGGAGGCCGGCCACGGTCCACCGCATCCAACTCCAAGCTCCGAGCTCCACAGCGGCAGCGTGCAAGAACCGGAACCAAAGATCCAGAGCAGGGTTCAACCGGACCAAATCCCAGATCCTGAAATCCGAGTTTAACCCAAAGCACTAGGAACCCCGAGGCGCTATGACCCTTGAAAAAACCCGAAACCGAACAACCCAAAACCTGAAAGAGCTGTGGCCCCGCGCTGCCGTAGGAGACGGGGGACTGGCCCTGCGGTGCACAGAGGAAGCTTTGGCGATGACAGCACCGGAGGCGGTCTCGCAGGGGTTGCCGGTGCCCGGTTTCGGGGTCTCGGGGTTTCAGCCTTCACAGGGTATAGGGCTGATGCAGTTTATGCAGAATGTCATGCCGATGCTTCGAACGAATAATTTGAATAGCGGGCCGGAGCATTTATCTCGGGCTGGAGAGAAGTTAGAATGCTTATGCAAGCACTTCACTGACTCATTTCCTGCGACTCCGAAGCCCACTCTTTTGTCCTTTCGTTAGTCTTGACCCAGAACTCGAAGACCCTCAACCCACCCAGCCCTGAACCCCAAACACTTAGCCGTCAAATCCCTCAACCCTGAAATTCCTACACTCGGAAGCCTGGAACCTGTGAAAACCTGTACCCCTGGCGCCCGAAGGCAGAAGCCGCATACTCGCCTGGGGCTCCGGGAGGCCGTGCTTTTCGCGGTTGCCGTCGAAGAGGTTCGACCTGACTCTGGGAGGTCGAGATTCGGGAGCTCGGACTTCAGCGTTTTCAAGGGGGGGTTGGGGTCTCAAGCTAAGTCTCGAAGCTGTTGAAGAGATCTACTTGCATCCGCCTTTGTCTGTGGTTGTGCACTTGAAGAACATGTGCTGTCATCCTACAGCGAATTTCAGGCAAACAAGTTCACGTCCCTATATTGTCAGCTTTTGATGCCGCGGGACTGAGGGTTCGAAAATTGCAGGGCCTATAGGCCGGCGCTAGTAGACGGTTCAGGGCTTTAGGTCCCATAAACCCTGAACCCGAAACCTAAAGACGCCAATCCCAAAGCCCAAAGCCGGAACGGAAAGACGGAGCCGAGCCCGCGGTGAGTTTTCTGAGAACCTCCCACCACTTGCCCTAATCTGCACCATACTTAACAGCACAAAACCCTAACCTGCAAAGCCTCAAACGGCCTAGTCAAAGAACCCATAGCCCAACAGACCCCGAACGCCCCTGCAACTTCCATCACTGCAAGTCTCCGGCTCCGATTCGGCGGTGCCCAGAAAGAACTTGCCTTGGTTCTGGCTTCGGGGTTGTCGGCTTTCGTGAAAGGGTTCCGGGCTTCCGAGCTTCAGGGTTCCTGGTAAGACTTCCATGGCTTTAGGGCTTGAAGGTGTCGAGCAGCAGGCTTCAACAGCTGCCTAGGTCGTCACATGATAGGTGCGGAATGCTGAGATGAATTGTGACAAGGGTTGACAAGGGAGGCTTTCGGGATCTAGCGTCGGCATACGCTTCAGGCAAAGGCAAAGGGGCATTACGTTGCGGGTGTGTGCAGACGCTGGTCAAAGCATGTATACCAACTACGCATTCGTTCGCATATGTTTACATATGCATGCGCTATGATCGTTGCTCCCGCAGCCAACGGCCTGCTATCCAGAGAAGCCGAACACCGAGAAGTCTTTTCAACCACAGAAGCTGGTTAAACAAAACAACAGCAAACAGAACACCATCGGCACAGTCAACAGCAAAAATGGTGAGCGAGATGAAACCCACTGCTTCGACATCCTCTTGCGGTGCAAGTACCGGTATGCTCGCCTCCGCCGGGGCCTGCCAAAGAAATCAGGTCCTTTTTTTAGGGCATGTGGAGCGTACCCAGACACCTTCAATCAGGACAGTCGACATGCTAATTAACCCAGCGTTGAACACTAAACCACAAACGTTCAGCCGCAAGCTGAACGCCAAAGCTGCGCGAATATCTGGGTTCTTGGCATGCTCTTCTGATGCATGTGTTCCGACTCAGAACTGTGCATTTGGCAGAGATTTCGGCACCATCGGGAGCCCTAGCATCCTTGAAGCCCAACTTCGGCCTGCACTCTGCTCGGCAGGCCAGTTCTGCCTGGCTTTTGGGCTCAGCAAAAAGGGAATCTAGCTTTTTTACGCATCCTGATAAGGACCCTAAGACCACAAATCAAGGTAGATATTTTGTATGACTTCTTCGTGGTGTTACAAGCATCTTGAAAGATGGCAGAAAGGGCTTACCTACTGCTGCTCTCATGTAGGGGACCTCAAGAACGGTTCAGAGCTTGCGGCTTGCGGAGTCAGAGGCTCAGAAAGCTGACCCTTCTGAAGCTCCATCGTCACCAGTAGGCGGCCACAGTAATTATGTCAATTATGTCAAGATAAAAGCCTCGAGCAACTATAAACTCTAAGTACTGCAAGCCTTTTGAAGCCCTATTATGCATCCTAAACGAGGGTTGATGGGCGTTCCTTTTAGGTGTGTCAATCGGATTGAAGGTCTGTCTGCGGAGCCCAAACGACCACTGGTAGTCCCCAAGTCCTGTTCTTTTTGGGATGTTTTGGTGTCGGAGTGCATATATGTAGAGCTACCCAGACCGAACCCCAAAAATCCACAGGCCCGGGTCGTAGTTGCTCAACAACTGTTGGGGCATCTGGCCGCAGGAAAACACAATATGACCCGACACCGACCTCAGCCCTTACACCCTGAACACCTAACCCGCCCTCTTCAAAAAAAACAAAAACAACATAAATACAAACATAACTATATGTACACAACCACTCAGACCTCGACCCCAAACAAAAAACGGCATGTTGCTTCAGGGTTTTAGGGTCTGGTTTTCGGGGTGACGTTGAAGGAGTAATGTCTGGAAGCAACGTCGGCCCCAAAGTAGCTTTTCCAAAGAGCCAGACCCCAAGCCGTAATTAAAGGTTTGCAAAGGTTTGCGGGTCAGGTGGCCAGCATCTGAACGTGGTGATGTCCGCGGCGATGTCCTTCCAGGGGTGCATGAAATTAAGGTTCAGGGCGTGGGACGGCTTATAGGTTTCTGGGGAGCTATAGACTCTAGCACAGAAGCAGCCCCCTCAAAAATAACACCAGGGATCACATTTCGTGGCCCAATTAACAGCCTGCGAGGTTGCAGCAAAGGAGCTGAGCCCTCAAGACCTCATGGACGGGGCTCAGCCACCGACGTGCATAGACGCCTAAACCTTCTTAGACCCTACCGGTAAAGTCTAAGCTTTAGGCCCCAACGCCAAGCCCCAAATTATAATAACTTTATTGGATCTTAAGTGCCAAGCTCTCCTTCTGCTTCTTCACATGCTTAATTACTGTTAATTATCACCACGGTTGTTATGATCATGAGCTCCCTTATATGTACTATATTATATTGTACAAGGACCCCTCACATGAATGCTGCGCCGGGTACTTTGGCGCCTGGGAGAGCGCGCGTCACGTGCGCCTTCCATGGGCAGAGTTCGCGACGGTTCCGAATGGAAGCCCCAGAACACACAATCGGAATGATGGTCGTGACATATCTTGATAATACTTAGTACTTGTCAGATAACTCATTGGGATTCCACCAAAAAAGCAACCAGAATGAAAAGCAGGTAGAGGCCCTGAACCACGTTCCTCGCAAAATGCGGAAAGCGTGTGAGGGTGCCAGTAGCGGGAATGACAGCAGTACCGCGACATCTGTGCCGTGTTCAGGCAATATGCAAATTTTCGTTGTATGCCGATGGCTGCAAACTTCTGCAAACTAAAACAGCCACGTGAATAAAAGCTGGTGACCTGGCAACGCGAGAGCCAATTCGGGTAGCTGTATGATGCGGTGGTCAAGACATGACTTGAGGGCAAGCTCCGACAGGGCCGTCACAGGCAGAAGGGCAGCTAAATCCTCGAGCCCTCGACCCTGGAGCCGGAATCGCAAGAACCACCGAGGCTTATCACTCAAAGGAGATGCTGAACGTGGAACGCACAGAGAGAGCACGGGAGCCATCCGCCAGCAAAGATCCGCCAACACAGACTAGGCTGGGCATGATGAACGTAACGTGTATGAACATTCGTAGTAGCACGATCGCAGGCATGATCAACTTGACAAAGCTGCCCGCAACTAACTGAGCACAATACTGGCTGTCAATGCAGACGCTACTTGTCACGAATAACCTTATGAGCCCATCTAACTCTGCTGACATACAAGACACAGTAATATTGATACCTGCAGCATTAACATGAGAAAGGTCACACATGCAGGATAATATGCTAGAACCCATCGTAATGCCCATTAACGAGCAACATCAACATCAAAACAACGACGCGAAAAACATAGTTATAGTCACTATAGTCGTCGTTCTCACACCCATCATGTTCACCATCATTGTCACCATGGACATCACCATGATTTAGCAGGTCATGGTGTGGTCTGACACTATGGATTGCCAGGTGAGGCTTACTAAGTGGGGCATGGAGTTCAACAAATTGTGAGGCATTCCACTGCGCTTCTCTGCGCAAAAGCCAAGACACGAATTCCCCACCCCTGAACCTCTTGTTCCTAGGCCGGCCGGTTGTCTCTAAAGCGCCACCGCGCAACAGAACACACACAACATGCAACACGAGGTGCATCAGACAAGGGGTCGGTACAAGGAGAGCCGACTCAGGGGCCTGGAGGAGAAGTGACAGGGGCCTCGAAGATCCGGTACCGATGATGAGAGCCTCTGAATCAAACTGTTGCCTCTCCCCGAGATGCCCGGCAAAAGCCATGAACCTTAAACCCTGAACCCAAAACACTCCTTATCGGGTGTCTTTAAACCTTAATATGGATTGGCGGAATGTGTTTTTGTTCGGTGTTTTTCTCGCCAAATTCAATTGCCAAAGTGCAAAATTCCGCGAGACAATTGCCAAATTGCGCAAAAAATGACATATTCAGCGAAGGCCGGCCCTTCGTTGAATATGGCGATTTCTTCGCATAATTTGGCAGTTTGTTCGCGGTTTTTGGAAAGTTCTTCGTGGACATGGCGCCTTTGAGCCTAGGGTTCAGGGTGTAGGGTTCAGGAGCTCGAGTTCATGGTTTAGGTTTCAGTGCCCAGGGTTTTGGGCTTTGGGCTTCAGGACCTAGGTTCGTATCATCGGGTTTAAGATTGCTCTGGGGTTGTATCATAGGGTTTGAGGGTGCAGGATGCAGTGTTTAGGGTTTAGGATCTAGGCTCTAGGATTAATGGACAAATTGCGTTCTCAATGATGAGGGTTCCTGGGTGGGTGGATATTTTTCTAGGTCCGAAATAACGAGCTCGACTAGAGACTGCTCGATCCGGCGCTGCTGAAGCTTAATAACCCTAAACCCTGAACCCTAAACCCTGAATAACCCCAATATAAACCCAATATAAACCCTATATAAACCCTAAACCCTATATAAACCCTGAAAGGATACCGGGCCTGGGCCAGGGCTCGCCATCTGCCACCAAGGCCATGGCCACCAGGCCGCGACAGGGGAAGATTTCTTTAATGGAGGCTCAGGGTCTCATCGAAAAGCTTGGCTTAGGGTTTCGGGTTTAGGGGTTTAGGGTTTTGGGTTGGAAGTTGGAACAGCTTGAACGGATCCTTGTGTAATGGCCTTTTGGGGGCATCCTGCATGGCAACTAGACAATTAATCCGAGTGCTGCCGTGTTGCAAAGTATATGCAGCCGGCTCTTGGGAAAGCTTCTTGGAGGAGGGCATGCAGTATGCTGAACCAACGAATCGAGACCCAGCCTGAGCCATTACAGGATTGTTCATGAGTCAATTATAGGCGCTCGGGGTGGTGTGGGATTCTAGTGTCGAGGTTGGGTCTGTAGCGTGTTAGAGCGCCGCCTCGAGAAAAAAACAAGCTTGCAGGTGGCATGCACGAGCGAGCGACCGTATGTCTGGACCCTCTAGAATCTTTATGCAGGCTGACGGGTTAAGGGCCTTGGCAACAGACAGAGATGTTCCTCACGTGTGCATTGTGACTCGGGCTTTGGAAACTTCTGCATACCTTAGCCAAACGGAGTCATGAAGCGTCGACCTGAAGCCACATGCCGTCTACAACCAGGGTGCGAACTGCTTAGGGCTTCGGGTTCAGGCTCTGCAGGGTCGCTCATCATCAGTTTTCTGCCTAATGCCAAACCTTACAGTAAAGGTTAAAACACAAAACTATTGAGGGGTCAGGGATCAGGACCGAAGGAACACCGCATACTGCAAGCCCTGACGCCTGCTTATTGCCATGATGTAACTAAAGTGAACCCAGCAACCTCAATGAGTCTTGGCGCTTTGAAAAGCACAGCAACATGCTGGTGACATAGCGACTCGCAAAACGGGTGACCAAGTAAAGTTGGTGCTACACAACCGAACCCTTGAACTTCGGCGCACCAAAGACGTCCACGAATTCAAATCCATCCGGTAGGCCAACCTTTGGTGGTGCACCAACGGAGGCTTATCGGGTTCCTTCTATGGGGTTCTTTCACGGCGTTGTTACTGATCTTTCAATCCCCCAATGAAGCACCGGAAGCCTAACCACAAGTCACAGACTCAAGCCCACCGAGTCCGAGAAAACTTAGCGAACATGTACGCTGGGCACTAAACTTCAAGAAGCGTATGGAGCGAACCATGAAAAAGTCAGAATGTCGCGGAACGCAAAAGCCCACCATCACCCCTAAACCTTAGAAGCCGAATCTTCCCAACAACCCTTCAATCTTTCCCATTGCTGCATCGTGCCCTACTCCTCGAGCCCGGGCCCTTGAAAACATGCGAAGCAGCGAGCTAGGGACTGTAACTCCGGAACCCATAAAAGCATTGATGGAGCAGACGGCCAGGGAATATGAGTACACAATGTCAAGTCTTTAGAGGCCTTACGGCTCACAGTTCGTGAATATCATGGATCAGTGTTCAAGTTTAGAGCTTCACCGGCTTTCTATAACGGTTTGGATGAGGGGTTCTTTGAGGTTTCTGGAAGTGTTCTGCGGAGTTCTTCTAAGGGCTTGTGGTTCAAGGGTTGATTAGGGATGGCAGTTTAGCATTTTCGGCTGAGGGATTCGGTTATGGGGGCTTGGGCTTTGACAAGACTTTGTCTCGGAACTGCTATGGACTACTATCACACAACCAAAACCCCAACCCACACCCTGAGGCCTTTTGAGCAAAGTCGGTGAGCATTTCGGGGTTGGATTCCAAAGGAACCTGGGGTTTTTGGCTTAGGTCGGATTAATTGTGGTTTATGATGTAGACGAGTCGGGCTTGAGGCCTATAGGGCTTCGAAGGTTATAAGCTGGTCTGGGGTTTACGTCTCTGCTTTTTCTGGGAAGGGTTCGTAAGGATTTTGCACGGTCTCTCCGGGCCATTCAGCGTTTCGGGATCGACTGGATGGACGCAGTGCAAGAGTTTGGGGTTTAGGCTAGTGCACCAGCTAGTATGACTGCTTGACGCATTTTGAATCGCCCACTTTCTAGCTACCCTGGTGTTTAACCGTCCATGACGCCTGCCAAACACCCATGAAACCCTACAAGCCATGTGAAAAAGCCAGTGGTGTCCTATGGCTCTCAGCAACTGTAAGGCTGTAAGTCTGAGGCGGGTCTGACGCTCGAAGGAGCACGGAGACTCGGTACGAAGGGAACTGGAGCCCCACTCAGGCCCACTCCCCCAGCTTTCAGTCCCCAAACCTCCAGCAGCTCTGAGCTCTGAAACCCCAAGCCCTTAAGCCGGAAGTTTCCCAAACCCAATGCCCGAAGCTCCCGAAGTCTGAAACAGCCAAATGAATGGCTGCATTCGGAAGCCGCCGAAATTCGAACCATGCCCCAACACCGTCAGGAAAGACGACTCTTTCGCAGTAATACTACTGCCGCTGCTGCTTCTGCTGCTACTCTTGTATTACTACCACTACCACGACGACGACGACGACTTCTGCATATCAGTTCTACTTCTATTTTTGCGCGCTGCTGTCATTGGCAACGCTCTCACACGTGGCCGGGAAACCCAGTGAACTCGTTTCATCTTCTCCAGATCCATAGCTCTGGCAGCAAGCGCAAGCGCCAAAAGTACCCGAAGCAGAGAACTCCATACTCAGTCTCGAGCTGGCAACCTAGGGCCAGCATCGAACTGCACGCGGAATAGAGAACTGAGAGTATGTTCTGTAATCCCCATGAATCCTCGCACTACATCCAGCGCAGCCTAGTCGAACCTGTCGCACGAAATTCCAGGCACTTACGGGCTTCGGCTGGCGAAGCGCCTTGCGGCATTAACACCCTCTAGCTAGTGATCGCTGGACCCGATAACGGCCACATCAGGTTCGATGTTGCAACAAGTTGTCGCTGGCATACTTGACGTGTCCTTAATTTCCTAACCCAAGCAGAAATAGTAAGACGGGTTGTTCTGAAGGCTAGGATTTGTCAATCCCTCAACAGACGGAACTTCGAAAGTCATGCACTGAACTATGAGGCCGCCGAATATAAGGGATGCCCACAATCAGGGTTTAGGGGACAGTGTCAAGTTCTCAAGCTCAAGGACAAAGTACTCAGGACATCAACCGTTTGGCCAAGCAGGACCCCGATGCGCCAGCCACGGCGCGCAAAATCCCATACCGTGCACATCACCTGACGCCCCCTGCGCCACAAAAAACCGTTGTCACAACCACATGTTTGTGTGTGTGTGTGTTTGTGGGTTTGTGTTTGCGGTTGTGTTTGTGGTTGTGTTTGCATATGTGTGTGTGTGTGCATATCTATACATGTGCATACATACATACATACATACATACATACATACATGCATACATACGCACACATGCACACATCCATACATACATACATACATACATACATACATACATACGTACGTACGCACGTACATACATGGATACATGCATGCATACTTACGTCACTTGCATACACACATACATTACATGACATTCTAATGGCATTACATGATATTCCATGACATCGCATGACATTACATGACATGACATTACATTACATTGCATTAAATTACATTGCATAGCATTGCATTACATTCCATTACATTATATACATATGTACATGCATACAGACAGACATGCATACATTCGCTATGTGTGAATACAAACATTTAAAAACATGTGTATTGTACAGATACATGTATACACGCATGGTTGTATGGCTGCATAAACATATATGTATACATCTATGTATATAAGTATAGAAATATATGTACGTATATACATGTACACACTGATATATAGATAGATAGATAGATAGATAGATAGATAGATACATAGATAGCTAGATAGATAGATAGATAGATAGATAGACAGATAGATAGATAGATACACAGAGATTACTCCGTATGTGCCTTGTTCTCTGTACAGATGCACATCAGTTCATGAGTCTGTCTATCTAATCACTTATCTGTCGTTGTATACAAATGATACACAGGCATAGACCTACTCGCTCCTGAAATTGAACCTTGTGTACCGGCATAACCTCTTCTGGCATGCTAGCGGCAAACTGAATTTAATTGAGCACATCACGCATGTTTTGCACCGAGGACCTCTGCAGGGTCGCACACACTTTGCTGGACGCTGCGATGCTCAAAGAACACGCGGATGTGGGAGGAACACGCATGCTCCTACTGTTTCTTGATGAAGCTCCTTCACTACCCCATACCCTCAATTAGCTCTAGACCAAAGCGCGATGACGAAACGACTCGTTGTGACTGTGACGACCCCCTGACCCCGGATGCCGCTAGCCAACACTCGTTTGGGGTATCGTGTCAGAGAGGTTGATCTTGGCTGAAATTTAAACAACACACCTTGCTTGATTCGGCACAGACGGTCGGAGTGGGGAATGTGCTGCTGCAGACTGAGCTTACGTAGTATTTGTTATCTGTAATGCTCTAGAGATGCAGGACCAAGACGGAATCCTGAACTGTGCCATTCGGGTAACAAACCAACTCATGGAGCCCAAAGCGAAACACAAGTCCAGCAGAGCTTGTCGTCACGGTGAGACATGGGGGATCTTGGGTGCATCTGGGCGCACTTGCACATGGAATCTTGGCAGGTTGGGATTTGAAGCGTTGGGGTTTCGGTGGTGCAATTTGTGGTCTAGGTAACTGGTCTGATCACCTTTCTCCCTCTTTCCTCTTACCACGTCAATCCTATCGGATGGGGGCCTAAATCTTGTTCTCGAAGACCTGACACTGAACATCGAATCCCAAACCCTTAGTCTACAAGAGGTCGGCCATCATTGCTGCAGGAATGCCAGACTGCCTTGACTTCTGTACCTCGCATGGGCTCAGGTTTATGGTATTGAGTCTAGGATTTGGGCTACAAGACCTTGAAGGAAGCATTGTCACACCAGAGGCGGTAACTGGAAAATCTACGTCCGAAACATGTCACGGCAATCACAAACCAAGAGAAATCAGGAAGGAAACGCAATGGTTACTAAACTACTGGAAAGGCGCTAATCGGCAAAGAAAAGCCCGAACAAGTTGTCTAAACTCCAGCTGTACAAGCCGTTGAAGCAGCGACAAGTCCACAACACGAATAACATCCCCACCATTCGGAGAAAGCTAGGCCGGTCCAAGAATCGGAGATCTTCAGCGGAGATGCTCATTAGACTTCTACAAGACTTGCAGGACTCCACTGTTACCGTAGGTACGTCTACATCTACCACGAATGAGCCTGTCTGCGGCACTGCTATCGCTTAGGTCCGAGCTTTCCTAGATTCAAGAAGCTTGCCACATCTTCTTCACATCTTCGTACCAGCGAACTTCGACGAATAGGAAAACTGTCTTACGCAGCTTCCTGAACAAATGCGGCTTTCGACTACTTCCCGACTTTCTGAAGTCAAAGTTCCCGCAGGTTCTCGATAAGTGAACATGTGGAAGAAAGTGAGGAATGTTCAACATAGAAACCGGCAATGCATGTGCTCTCTATAGGCTCATTCTTGTCACCCGATATAGGCACTGCCTGTACATACAGGAATAAGTATTCAACACAGAAACCGGGAAGTCATGTGTTCTCTATAGTGTCATTCTTGTCAACCGAGTGTCAGTCGATATCGGCACTGCTGTACATACTATGTGCACACATGTGCTTGCGTTGCACCCGGAAGGCTTGCATGTGCCCAGTTTTCGATACAAGTGCAGCCAAATTATTGAGTTTGTGCGCAGTCTGGGGAGGGGTTAGGCTTTTCGGATCAGGCCCCACTTATCGGGCCGAGCTCGGCTGTGCTGTAGGGTTCGGGTGTTTATAGAGTGCATGCTTGAATTAGGGATTAGAGTCTGAGGTTTTCGAGTGCACAGAACCTTGACCAACAATCGAAGATCCCAAACCCCTACACAAGACAGGCACCAAGCTTCGCTTGCTAACTCATCTCCGACCGGACCTAGGTGACACCCTGAACATGGATCCCAACAGCCCAAGCTTGAAACCAACCCCCAGCTACTACACCGCACAAGCCCCAACGAAATACGGAAAACATATTCACCAAGCGTGGCCTGAGACAAGGGCTTTACGGCCTCAATCCTGATTCCCAGAACTGGTCTTGCAACAGGGATGCAGAGTTTGTCCGCGGTCTCTTGGCCTTCACCAGGGCTTTCTGCCAGGCTTCTTTCTACCTATGTATCTAGCTCTCTATCTGTACACTGTAGCCAGATCCCGTTCTGCGTTAGGGGAGGGTCTAAGCAATCTAATCTTAGACACTATGGGTTCTAGAGCAGCTCACTCCCTGAACTTGCTCGTAAACAGCTGCTCTAGCCCCTAAATAACCCCTCACGGTCGAAAACCCTCATCTCGAATCCGGAAGGCGACCCCGAATAAAGTGTACGCACCAGTGCAAAACTGCAATTGCTGCCTCCCGCTCCTCTGTCGGAGGTCGGCTGGCACCGATACGCAGTCGCCCGCCTCGCTGCGCCATGCGTTGCGCACGGTGGAGCAACCTCGAGGCATGCTCGCATGTTGCAACACTTCGTTACTACGAGTGTCGTGAAAATTGTGCTCATGCTGCTTGTGAATGAAAGCTGTGATGGTGGCCGCAAGGATGCGGCGAGAGAGAATCTCTCAACTCCTGTGGCTTCTTTGTCAGCTGGTCGTTGCTGCCAGTGTATGTGTGGACGGGATCCAAAGTGAAAAGCATTGGCTTCAGCTATGGAGGTCCTTGTTGATCTCCCTATGCATGCATACACACATACATGCATACATACATAAATAGAAGCATACATACATACAAACATACATACATACAGACATACATACATCTGTACCATTCATCCATCCATCCATCCATCCATTCCATTCCATTCCATTCCATTCCATTCCGTTACATTCAATTCCATTCCATTCCATTCCATTCCATTCCATCCCGTTCCATTCCATTCCATTCCATTCCATTCCATTCCATTCCATTCCATCCATCCTTCCATCCTTCCATCTACCCATCCATCCAGCCTTACATCTATACGTTCATGCATCCATGCATGCTTACCTGCATGCATGCATGCATGCATACTTAGATGTGCATTCATGAACGCCGGCACATACGATAGAAAATGTTTCCGTAAGCTGTGTGCGCACATACATCTTGTTCCAATAAGAGAGCCTCGCCCCTGAACCCAATATCCCATACCTGAAACCCACATTGGAATCAAAAGACCCTGGACCCTTTTCTCCGAACAAATCCTGGACATCCCAAACACCAAACCCTAAACCCTACCCGGTAGAAGAACCCTGTAAGCCTTGTGGCAACACACCGACGAGAAGCTGTCCGATGGGGGTCATGGGCGTCACCTTCGAAGCCACAGACGCCGGGGTCGTCCGAACGGAAGCTGGGCTAGCCTTGTCCAACGGGTGACGGTTCCATGAGGGGTAGGTAACATTAATTAAGGGCTCTGTGAATTGTTCTACGGGGTCAAGGGTGTGTTGTTGAGGTTCAGGATGCGTTGTGCTTAAAGCCTCGGGCAGACACGTGGGATATGATCCTTGGGTATGGGTTGATGAAGCTGCTCCTACGATGTTCTACACCTGTTCAAAGGTTGCAAGATGATCTCAGAGGCGTGTTGCACTTTGAGACAAGAACCCAGAATTAAATGTCGGCCAAACTCAAAACTAGCTGAAGTTGCAGGCAATCAGACACACACAGCAAGGAATTTATGTTTGTATGAAAGAAGGGAACCTAGTATAAAAAGGAACATCCGAACACGGCCACTGCTCAATGTGCCGAATCTTGCTCCAAGTGACCCACCTATAGACCCTGAATCTGCAACCCTATAAAACTCAAAAAAAAAAGCACACGGAACTAGCAAAATCCAGAGAATACAGCTTCTGGGCAGGTTTGAGGCTGTCGTCTTAAAACCTACATGCCTAAATGTTGTGAACCCTACTGTAACAAAGCCTTCAAAGTCACAGAAGATAGCATATGGGCTGTGGACGATTCTGGCTGGGGCTCTCTCTACTAAGGCCATGATAACTCTGATGTTGCACCGTTGTGGCTTCTACTTTAGGTCGTCGAGATGAAGATGCTTCGGTCAAGAAGGCACAGATTAACAGGCATCTCATACACAATACGAGGCTCATGGGGGAATGGCAGTGCGGACTCTGGACACCGGTTTGTTTGCAGAGCATAGGGCTTCCAACTGCAACACTTCAAATTGAACGAGGGGAGCAGCGATCTGGCAGTTGAAAAAACAAGCACAAAGCCTGATCCACGAACCCTTACAGTGTCCCATGCCGCATTGCATCCAAAGAAATGCACGGGCAACAAAATACAAACCCGCAACCAGGTAAGCCGTAAACGCACACCCCTTCCATAACAAAGAAGCGTTGGGAGTCAGCCCAAGAGCTTTCAATCGCTCCTGGTGCCGCTTCTTGCCATTGTTCGTCTTCTTTCGACGATTCCGATTTAGTGCTTACGGCTATAGTTTCCTATGTTGCATGGGCATTTAGGGTTTCGGGCTAAACATTTCGGCTGCAGCAGTCTGCTGTCGAAATTCCGTATGTCGGGGTTCCGGGGCACGGGCAGCGTGCTAAAGGCGTACGATTTCTGGCTGCGGGCCTAGCACTTGCAGCCCGCATCGCCCATTGAAGATCTGACCACCCAGGTCTACGCATTAAATGCTACACCAATAAGCCGGGCGCAAGAGCTGTAATGGGGATGGCATTTCGGCGCTGAGGTTCGTTTTGTGTAGTGTTTGTGAAGAGCTTTTGAAGGCCCCAGTCCTGCGTCATGACGAAGAATATGCTGCACCAAGATTTCGCAGGGACGGAGTCGACGCTAAATGTTTGATGGAACTTTGGGGCGTTTGGGGTCTGTAGCCTGTTACTTTGCTATGGGTACAGAAGGCGGTTCTACTTCGGGACAACTAACGAAACCCTCAACCGTGAACCCCAAACAGAGAGAGCGAGAGAGAGAGAGAGACAGAGGCACAGATAGATGGACTCGTAGATAGCGAGACAGAAAGGTAAGCGGACAGATAGATAGCGAAAGCAGGGCTCTTCTTCTGCGGTGGTCGGACAGTTTGGGCCTCAAGCTTCGCCCTGTCCAGATCCGTTCCAGCCCTCAGCCGATCCAATAGAGTAGCTGGTATGTAACCTGTGCAAGTACATGGGGTCATAAGTTTATAACGGCAACTGTGAATCATTGATCCCTTCCTTAGTGTGCGACTTGCACAGATCTCCATACCGGACAGCTGGCAACTTGTCACCGTTCCCACATCCTGCTAGCCGTCTTCTATGCCAAAGTCTCTCTGAAGAAGCCAATACACTTGACCTGGAAGAAAAACGCCCTAATCCCATCCTCGCAGTCAAAGCTCGGGTTTGGCACAAATCCCACAACAGAAATCGAAAACTCTGCCAGCCAACGCCTTCGGGCTTAGGGTTTGGCATCCCTCACCCTCACCCAAATAATCAAACCCAGCAACAAAAGCAACAACCGGGGCCCTCCAGATATCCCCTACCTAGGCATGCAGGTGGGCCTTCTTGTCGTAGAACCGTCATAAACCCAAACACTCACAGCACCCCTTATCAACGCGCCTCAAACACCTTTGTATTCAAAAGCTGAGCGAAAGTGAACCGTGTAAACGACCAGTTCAAGCATGAAGCTCTGCCGCTGCCTTCTTTGAATTCTGCTTCGACTCTCTTTGCCGCTGCATGGCCCCTCGCGCGAGCTTCTCCGCAGCACGGTCCCGAGGAGACTCCTCCACTTCTTGTGTATGGTTTGCTATAGCTAAAGAGTCTATAGAGTTTAGAATTTGGGCGTTTCGGGTTTAAGGCTTCAATTCTTCGGGATTCGAGTCTGTGTATCGTTTTCAGGTTTAGTATTTGATGTCTGAGGGAATCAGGGCAGAAGGTTTGGAGGGTCTCTGCCAGCTGTTCGAGGTTTACGTCATGAGCTCGCAACGTCTCTGGCGACTTCCTTGGGCAGCAGGTTGGTTGTTTCGGGGAGGTTGTGTTAAGTCGGCGTGGGGTCGGGGTCACGTCGGCCCATTGGCGCAGATCCCAAGCCCAGGTCAATATTGACCTGAGCTGCATCACAGAAACCTGCCTTGCAGACAGCCTCGATATAGAATAGAACCGTAGACGACCCAAGGGCCCGGAAACCCCATCAGCTGCCCAACTCTGTAGACTGGCATTTTTTAATTTTCTGTGCATTTCAGATGTCCGCTCCGAAGCCCTGAACCTGCAATCTACAGAATCTGCAACCTTCAGGCCCATCCCTGATCACTCCCATAGTGGTCTCCCGATTAACGCTGGAGCCGTTGAAGATTTAAGGTTTTGGGATTTTGCGTTTGAGACCCTACCTCAAGCCCGAAAAAACTCTGAACCTCGAAACCCTCAATCCCAAATCTCAATGCCCTCACCGCCAAGAAGAGGCAACACACGAAGAGGAGCAACGACACACACACACAGAGACATTGCGAACCTGAGACACGCATTTCCAATAACGACATTGCAAAATAGAGACATGCAATGCAACAAGCACAGCTGAACATCGGTATTGTCGATGCACACACCAAGCCCCAAATCCCGAAACCTGAGCCCATCCTTCAATATATCCCTCAAACCAATGCCACAGCCCCAAACGCTTGACAAGCACTAGACTAACCCTGCCGCAAAACCCAAAAGACCCGATAAAGGTGCTACGTAAAGCATCTCCGGTGTCCTCGGCCACACGAAAGCTCGGCCCGATCTCTTCTTCCAGGAGCCGCGGAGTCGATGCCTCGGCTCAAAAGCTTTAACATGACAGAAGGCCTAACGAACTATACAAAATGAAATAAGCAAATGTAACCTGAGATGATGATAGAGGACAGAATAGAACAGAATGTGGTATCTTAGCATGCTATTGCATCATGAGATGTGATTCGATGTACGCAGCGTAATAGCATATAACATGATGGCTTGAAAGATCTATACAGAAGCCGTGTGAGCGGCAAACAGCAGCATCAGACCGCTAGCAGGAAGCAGGAGCTAGGAACAGAGCTACAAAGTGCTCCACATGCCTGTGCAGGAACGATACATGCTTCAGGCTGTGGGGTCTGGGGTCCTTAGGGTTTAGTAGGTCTAGCGTTTAAGTATGGTTTGAGCAGACAGAAATTCGGAACATCATAATGATGCCGCGTGTAACACTGTAAGCCGAATTATAAGACTCCCACGACGAATCATGATTAACCCATGCTCCAACTTTCTGGAGTTCACTCTAGGGTATAGGGCTGGTCACTTGGGGCTTTGGTTTTGTCTGTGCTTTGGGCTACAGAACCCTGTTGGGTGCCAGCTGCCTCCGCAGGTCCAGTACTCACCAGATCTCTTCGCACATTCTTTCTACGAATGGGGGAAGGTTCAACATGTCAGTTGCTGAAGGTTCTGCGAAGTTTGTGCAAACAAGCTTTGGAGATCAATATTTTTGAGACTCAGGAATCATGCAGCATGCTGTAACTCCGCAACACCTGAACCTTAGCTTCCTGCTTTGAACTGAAAGGACAGGTATGTCAGGGTGCTGTCTGAGACTTGGTCGTAGTGACGGCGGATATCGCAGGTGATGCAGTTAGTGTAAATTGCTGTATTCAAAGTCCTTGTCTAAGCACGGTTCCAGACACACAGGTTGAAAGAACTGCTGGGAATATGCACAAACAACACATGGAAGCCGTGCAGCTGAGAACCTGGGCCCCCATGCATGCAAAGACCAGCTAGACCATGCTGCTTAGCACTGCCGATGCCCGAAGCCGGAAATACTACAGCTAACAGTTCCAGCTGGGAACTGCAGAACTGCATGCAGAAGCTGAGGACACGCAAACCCGCCAGAAACTACAATTAATTTACCTCCTGACGGCGAATGCAGTGGCCCAAACACCCCCTACCCAAAGTGGAACCCTGTGCTCTGTGCGACATGCAGTAGGCTTGCTGCAGACAGAGCACGATCTTTCCAAAAGTCATAAACGGAGAAACACCATTGTCACCAGGAGCCATCGCCGGCGTGCTAACAAAGTTAAAGTTACCAGCCTGCACAAGCTGAACTCAGAACGTCATTTTGGGCAAAGCTTCCAGATAAAAGCCCTAACACCACAAAACCAATTGTCCGTCCTTGAAACTGCAAAACATGCAATCCGAAATCCCAACACCCCTTTACTCACCAAGTGTCCACTTACGTATCAACTTAATAAGTTGGTCTTCAATTAGAAACCATGTCACAACTTCAGCGCCAGCTTATATACGGCATAGCTACACGGACCCTTCAGGATCCAGAAACCATGAAACTTGAAGATCCAAGCCTCACATCTACAGCTTTAACTGCCAAAGCCACAGCATTGAAGCCCTGGACCCACTAAAAAAACAGCAATCGGCATGTTCGCGGCGCGTTCTAAGCTAGACTCGGGCTCCTGTGACAGGGAGCTCAACTCTGCAGTGTTTGACCTACAGGATGATGGGGTGCGAGCAAGAGCTTGTTGAATGCCATGACTGGAGGACACAGCCTTAGGCTTCGTAAGTGCTTGCAAGGGTGGTGCTCGTAGGGTTGAAACATTCAGGGTGCAGGTAAGCCGTAACACAGACTCAACACCAAACCCAGAACCCTAAACGGGCCACTGTTCGTTCTGCTTAGGGCAAAGGGCTGCGCCCTAAGCAGAACAACAACCAAGTACCTACCTGTACTCAAGAGAGCCGATGATGCAAAGGCCTGGGAGTTCCGTTGGTTGATTGGCGTCTCCAGGCGCCCACCTACCTTGGCTGCTTCCCCTAAGGGTCCATGTACCCAAATAGTATATACATTGGCCCCAAAGTACCTATATAGGAACTACATTAAGGCCAAAGTGTATCCTATTTGGGTACACGGACCCTTAGGGTTCGCTAAGCTTCAGGGTTCACGGGCCGGGTTTTGGGTTTTAGGGTTAATTGAGGCTACTATGCCAGTCAAGAGCGGAAGTCACTCGACCCCAACGTGTGTACTGCAGTTAAGCGTTACTTCGGTTACTCTGTAGATAATTGGATGAGTGTAAGTAACCTTCAAGACGCTGCTGTAGAGGTTGTGGCTGGGTTGAAGGCGATCATTCCATGAAAATGAATATGATCCCTGCAGATTACAATGCTCAGCACTCAACCCTTTATCCCCGCGTTGTACTACATCTTAAAACCTCAAGCCCAACCCGAAATACTAACACATCATGCCGAGTTTGTAACAAAGCCCCTGGAACCCGATCCCAGGAGCAGCTCGAAGGTGACCGTAGTTGTGGAGCGCTGCGACGGAAAAGGTACCGTCCTGCAGGAGAAGGGTCGAGGGGTCGGAGATCTAGAGGAGGTCAGGGGGAGGTCTGCGTCTCGAGCTTCCGGAGCTTGTTTTAACTTTCCGTTTCCGGGACTTAGCCCCAAAAGGTTTGGGGTTCCGAAGTCTACTCTGCTAGGATCATATAGGGAAGCTCATTCCGGGTGATGAATATAGGGGCCTTCAGAATTGCAAATCGTATGCCTTACTAGGGCTCATTGACATGACTATTGCAAAAACATACCCCTACACAGAATCTTGAATGCCAGGGTCGACTTGTGAGAACGTCTGGTACATATGGGCTATATAATATTATGGTGAGACCCCAAGATTACTGAGGCTCGTGGGGATGTTTAGCTTGCTGGATGCTGTAATGCCTGGCAACACGGGAGGACGACCAATTAGGAATCACAAATGGGGATGCTGGCCTTACTGTTCAGGTGATAAGGCAATAACCAAGAGCCAGCAAGACCTAACCGACGAATGTCGCAACATGTTTCTTGCGAGCAAGCTACCTAAGGCCTGTCTAGACCACTCAATCATGTTTACGAGTTTCAGAGCCTTCACGCCCACTGCCTCGAACCACAGGCACGAGAACCCTATTCATTGCACTCTTCAGGCTCACGGTAAGGTCAAGAGTGTATGTCTTAGACCGTAGGCCTACCAACACAATCGGGGTTGGCGCATTGAGACTGACTTCAATAAGAAAGGTAAGGACATCTGGCAAACAAGGTTTTATTCTCGAGTCCTTCGGCTTCACGTTTTTAGGGTTTCTTCAAAACTTCAGGGTCTGTCGGGTACAAAACTATGAGGTTGGGTGTCTACCTCCAAATGCACTAGACGTAACCCGTCAGGGTTTTGTAGGGCTTGAGCTCATAGAGGTGCTGAGAACTAAGTAATAGTATCCACATAGAAGTCCACATAGAGGCCCAAAATACTTCAGAATATTGAAACCCTATTTTACGGGTTGCGGCCCCAAATTAGGGCAGTAGGGGTTCAGGCTTCGCGAAAGACAGGAGCTAGTTTCCTTCAGCATCTTCGCGAGGACGTCTGCCAGCCTGTGGCAACGTGCAAGGAGCTTTTCCGTAATATGGGCACCTGGGAATTGCTAGCGCTTTGTGGTCGTGACTCTGTTCTACTTCATAAACTAACATCCTCAATCCTCATCATCAGGGAAACGACACTTGCAAGCATGATGGATGAATGCAGGAAGAAGAATGAAGGGCACAACCTGTGGCTCCTTCTGCTGTTGGGGCACTGTAGCCCGTTCTCTCGCGCATGCTTGGCAGCGATCGCAGCCATGAGAGTTTCGTCCAAGTCAGACTGCTCTTGGGAGGTGAAGCCTGGGCTGGTAAAGCCGTTTCAGATTACCTACGGTTTAGCGTTTAGAGTTTTCTGACAACCCAGGTTTAGGGAATTAGGGTCCTTCAGGTTTCGGGTTTAAGACTCGGTTCTGGAGGTTCCATCGAAAGCCGCAGCTTCTGGCTCAAGCTGACTTGTCAACCGAGCTGGGGACTGTTAGACTGTTAGACTCCACTTAAGCCAAACCCTAAGTCGGATTTCGGGCCAAAACCTGCAGTCCTGAAACCACGAATCTACACCCTGCACCCTTCAAGCGGAGAAGCACTTCCTTGTTTGAATATATTCAGGGTTTACGGTTGACGGTTTCTGAAACTATTTGGGAATAGAATTCCTTCAACATCGGCTGTGCAAGCATGTATCACATCACCTCCATATCAAACCACATGCCAAGGGAAATTGCCATCCTGCAACCCGAAAAGCCCAACTCTAATGCCAGGAAGCGTGTATTTCTACACTCAATGGCCGGCTTGTCAGGAGCTGCCGACAGCTCCCCTTTGGGCTTGAAGTACAGCGTATTCCTCGCCTGGTTTAGGAAGAGGGTTCAGAATGTCCCGCGCACGAAGCACATTTGGTATTCGGAATTACGACTGATAATTATGGGTCTGCTTGCTACGACGAATGTACAACCCTCCCGGGTTCCTGCGCAGAGTGGAGGATATGAGGCCTGGGGTTTTGGGTTGAAGCTGTACTCTACTCCAGAGCCCCACATCCAAATCCTATTTGTCATGCGAGTGATACTATAACGAACTATGATTTGAGGCATCGTCCTGAAGCAAAGGCCTTCGAGGTGGGACCTCAGAAGCCTGCATGATAGCAGCACAATTAAGCCCACAACCGGCTCAACTTGTTCAAACCCGGCTTGGGCTTGTGTAGGGCCGTTCTGCCTCGAGGTAGCGATCTTTCCGAAAACGAAGGGAAGCCCTCCCTCTCTGGCCAAAGGGCCTGGAACTCGCAGGTCATGATGGTGCCGGGCCGATTGACCTTTTATTGCGGTCCCAGACCCTGTGGTGTGTAATTACGACGATTAAGGCTGTCTCTCGCTGTTCTCATGCGGCTTTTGGGCTTCGAAAATCCATGTACATGGAGACTTCAACTCCAAGGCCGCATGCAAGGACCAAAAGGAATCATGGAATTCCTTCGGCGTTAAACCAAAAATGTGTTTGCACAGGAAACCCGAAGCCCTAAACCCTATCTGAAGCCCAGTTCTTTTCCTAAACATGCCGCCGCAAAACCTTAACCTGCATTGAAACACAAAACTGTGCTTGACGAGTTTAGGTGAGCTGTGCAGAAAGGCCGTGAATACCTGACCCGTATGAGGATTTCGAGCTAGTAGGGGGTACATACTATAGTTGTGTCTTTCCAAGTTCAAAGTCTTCACGACATGACTCAACCAGAACCTCAGAACCCCACCCCTGCAAAAGGGTGCCCAGCTCTCGTGGCCGAGGGCTTAAGAAGGTGCCAAAAGAATTGGCGCTCTTATGTGTTCGGGATTCTCTTTGCAATGCAAAACCCGTCCCAAAAAAACCCAAGCATGCTGTTTCGTGGGCCTAAAGAAGGGGCCCACATACTGGAGCGGCCAAGCAGCCACCTCCACTTTGTCGAAGTCCAGCGCCTGCTCCTTGCATTTCCTCGGCTATAAGGGGGATTGAGTGCCATGTTTAGAGTATGGGCTTGGGCCAGGTTTGGGTTTTCAAATCACAGGAAGCCCCTGCCAGTGGTGGTTGGAACACGAGGTGCAGTTTTGAGGGTTGTCACGTATTTGTTACCGAAGTATTCATCCACAACGAGTACGAGGTGGCCACCCACGGCATCCTGGGTCTTGAAGGTGCTTTGGGATAAAGGTTTCCGGCCTCCAACATCGGTCAACGAAACAAAACTCAAACACGAGGCCATAATAAATTAAACGGCAGTTGTCACATTAGGGTTCACTGTACAGGGTCTAGGTTTTGGCGTCAGCCGAACACCGTAAGTGGACATGACTTAGAACCTCAACTTGAACAGAGCGGCCTATCCGCATTATCGACCGCCCCCGCACAATGGTACGGTACCGTGCCTTGTGTGCCAAGCCTGGCGTGCAATGCGCCAGCTTTGGCATGCCCGCTTAAACCGCATGTAAGGGAGGAGCCACCATGTCGCTCCACAGAGCGGGGCGCAGGGGGTGTGTCAACGCTGGCACAGAAAATCCTGAAACAAGCAGCCATGTGCCCGGTCCATATTGCAGTATCGGGTTTAGGGTCCCGTTCATAAACGGCTCGTGTGTAGTGCGACAACCGCAAGTTAAGATTCAGGTCCATATGAGTCAGGGGTCGAGAACTACGGATTAACCGGCATTATGCCTGGAGTTCAGGGTCGATTTGCAGTACCTGGATCTAGAACATCCAAAATCCTCCCCGGCACAATCCGAGTCCGATCGAGACCCCGAACAGGAAATCCCAAGAGTATAGCGGGAATTATCCACTCTACTCGTAAAACATGGACATGGGGGCATCGATACTTAGCAACCGTTCACCAAACCCAATCTTACTAGTTCAGGTACGATGCGGGGACCGTCCAAAATAGACCCGTTTCCGGGAAATTGTAATTACAGGGAATGTCGGATTGGTCAGACCTCTATATTCATGAACCCAAGAGCGCCTTTGGAGTACAAACGTCCATACCGACAGACCAAGTGCTACCAAAGGTGCGTGTTGTGCTTGAGCTCGGGACCCTCTACCTTGCTCCGGACTTCAATGCATACTAAGGTTGTCAGTATGAACGTGGCCTTCCTGTAATGCTTTGTGTTTGCGGTCAGGGCCTGAGGCTTGCATTGCGGGGTTGTGGCAATGTATATAGGCTTCGGGGTTTCCAGGGGCCTGGTCATGGTGCTGTCCTTGCATGTTTCCCTTCCTTGGTTCACCCACCTACCTAGGACCATGTGAAGCCGATCACGTGAGATTCGAAGTGGCACGGAAAACCACAAAACCTACGCATGCCAAGCTCTATCTGCGGGCTGAGACATTCGGGGTGACGAGCTACGACACTTCTCAAAGCACATTCTCCGAAACGCATGGTACTTACCCATAACCGCATTGCACGTGATTTGCATCAGAGAAAGCATGCAACATCTTCCAAGCTGACTCGGGCTTGTGTGGAATCATTCTAAGGTCATCAAAGCATGACCACCACCACATGGTCTAGAACCCTAATCCCTGAATCCTAATGTCCTACATTCTGATTCCTCAATTCCTCAACCCTACCTGGAGCCCCAAACAGTCACACATAGTCAACCATAATGGGCTGTGACACCAGAACTATATAACCACAGGCCAGGTGACTAGATCCAGAAGTAAACCCTGAGCCCTAAACATGTTAAAGCCCTATACAACCCACAGCACGACGTTGAAACCCTCAAATGCTGCCAAGGACGCCCACCATTCCTTTTCTCTCCGCCTCTGGCGATCTTTCTCCAGGACCGCCTCGAAAGAGGCGTTGTCCTGTCCAAGCTTAGGGAGTTGCCAGGAGCATGCTGTAGGGTCTGGGGTGCCTGGATTAGCCTAAAAATACTTGTCGAAACCAGGCTGTGTAAGAAGAACACAAAAAGTAGCGCTCCTCTGAGGTGAAGACCTGCTGAAACTCATCTAAGCCAACGGAAGACAGGTCCACGAGGACCTGGCCCAAGGCCAAGGAAGGCGGGGCTTGAGGGGATTAAGAAGGTCACCGGGATTAAGGTCACCACAAAGGGTTCTTGGATTCTGTTAGCACCAGCACAGTCTGGAGTTTAGGGCCTCTCAATTGACAATAGATACTACTGAGTCTTTTATCATGGGCCCTGAACCCTCAGAGCTTCTCCTCCGAACGAGTCCCGTACTCCGAATCCCATGTGTCCGGTGAATGCAACACTGAGAGCCTTCAGCCCCATTCAGTCCTGAGCTTATCCATATAAGCCCGGAATACATTCTCGTTGGCTGAGTGATCTTTCGTTTGAGTCCCCCCGAATCTGCAAAGGAGCTAATGCCGGTAGCACAGCAACACGTTTCGGTCAAGGGCAAAACCATCCATGCAATTGCAATCTTATATGGCCCCAGCATAGTCTGACATCGTCTGAACATGAGGCGGACTGTAGACATCCCCCCTGAGTCATTTCATATCCGGATGTACAACAACCACACCATTAACACGAGCCCCAGCCTCTCGGCCACTGGTTAGTTTCAGCAGGGCCTGGACCATGTTTGCGCTGCAAGGCAGACATGAGGAGATCGATAGTAGGTGGTCCACGGCATCGCAACAGCCCATAATGCAAGCCCCCAAGCAACAAACAACATGCACAATTGCCTGCAACACTAGAATTGCTACGCCGTAAACCAGAAGAAAGCAAACTCTCAAGTCAGCTGAGTGAATGCCGGTCGAATAGACATACATAGCTTTATGGAGCCGTTCAACAAAGCGGTACGCAAATCCTTGCACCCTTAAACTCAAAACACCTAGACTTTGTCTGGCCAAAGACTTTCACAGCAACAAATTCTACCCAGCACTCCAACTCCTGTGAACCTCGTACCCTGGAAGACTGTTTTGGGCCCCCAATACCATACCAACATGCCTGTTCTCACTGCAAAAAAAACCCCAAATCACAAACCCCAAACCCTCTAGTGGTACGAAGACAGTACTACCCTGAGACCTTGTAGACCGCCAAAGAGGCACACAAGGCCCTTAAGCCACAAGCTGAGGCCTGGTGTTGGCCGGCGACGCTGAGCCCTGCATTGGCACTTGCGACCTTGGCATAGCAGAGCAGCATGGTGCTGTTCATGTATTTTGCAACTCTTTCTTTGTTTGCCTATAGAGTCATGCTTCCACCCGAAGCCTTGGTTAGGCCCTTTACGACCTGGACACGATCACCTTGTACTGGGGTGGTCTTCCAGAACGGCTGTTGTAGCGCTTCGTTCTGAGGGAGTGCCACATCTCCAAGATCGGAAATTGCAACTCTGCCTGTCAAAGTGTAGTGCAGTGACCGCATGTGTGCCGCCATCAGAATATAAAGCTTTTTGTGCTCGCCTTTCCACAGCTTCTTGCACTAAAAACCTAAGAATAACCCTGCAGCCTGAAATAAAGTGCAGAGCAGGTGGCTGTGAAACTGTAAACTGCTGCCCGAAAGTGATGACATGAGACATGGTTGAACGCTGCGCCGACGATTGGATGGAAGATGCAGTGTCCTTGCCCCGCGTCTACTGCATGTTCAGCACGAACTCTGGGTAGACAGCATCGTCATTGTAGACAATGTACTCGTCATGCACCTGCTCTTGCGCACGGGTTACGTTGCCCTGGGCCATCGCAGAGTGAAATGTGGGGCTTGGAAAAAAGCGGCCGTAGCATTGATCTGAAAGTCGCTCGATGTTTCCCAGGACAACTCGGCAAACGATTATGCAGCCGCCTATTGAAAGGCTTTGCAGCTGTTGTTGGCGAAGTACAAGCCCCTTCCGTAAAGACCATCTGGCGTCTTGTGCAAGGAGAACTTGGTACGTAGCCCATGCTTCAGCACAAAATCCAGATTGTGCTGCCTTGTGCCGTGCAACAGATACACTGTGTTGGCAGCTTTGCACAAGCCGTTTCTACCTCCGAGGCGCTGAAGCCACGGATGAATACCTCGCACTAGCACCTCATCGTCGTTACCCGGTCGCTGTCTGAGGTCCTCGGCGACTGCTGCCTCATAGACTCTGAACCGCTCAAAAAGGGCTGTGTTCTCAATCCGCTGAACCTTTTCCACCTCCATTCGGCAACATCCGTCGTGTTCGCGACAATGGCACCGGCACAGCTGTGGGCCATGTCTCAGGTGTGTCTCTTGGAGCATCTGCTCGGCCATCCTGTGATTGTGGCCATTCTCCCTGTAGTCGTTCATTAGAAGCGGAATATCTGGCTGTGGAGATGAAAAGTAGCTTGGTACGGAGACGACAACCATCTGTGGCCGCCCTGTTATAGCAGCCAGATAATCTCTGTCAGAAATCAGTCTGGCCCTCTGCAAAGCAGCAGCGATTGCACGTTTGGCCTCAGGCTTGATGATGCCGGAGGCCCCGATCGACTGCAGGGACGCCGTCACCCCTCCGCGCATCATCGAGGGAACGCCTCCCCCGTGAGCCTGCGCCTCCATGCTCTGCCCCGTAGCAGCATGCGAACCTTTCCTTATGCCTACAGATTGGTAGCCCAAGTGCTCCGCAAGCTCCGGACCGCGCGAAAGCAAATCGCGGCATGAGATGCATTGTACATTCAATGTCTTGGCGTGCAGCACCACGACATCCTGCATGGGTTGCTGGAGTGCCTCAACTTCAGACCTACATGCAGCCCAGTGCTGAAACCATAACCTTTGAGAGGCTCAATACAGAGCGGAATCGGGATCAACTGCATGCGCAGGTGCGATTATGAACGTTGCTCTGCGTATCTCCCCCATTGCCAAGATGCTTACTGTAGTTTCCAAGTTCTAAATGCACGAAAGCGACGCTTTCGGAGCCATCGTCCTTCTCCCAGGCGCTGAGCCTTCAAACGGGAAAACGTTATGAAAGTTGCGGGAGGGGAGGAGACCCCAAATGCAGTCCATGAGTAAAGCCAAACTCCCTTTTTGAAGGACCCGAGAAAGCAAAGGGCTCGGGATATATGCAAGCGTTGTTCTACTCTCTTTGGACTTTAAGGCACCTGAAGCCCACTGCCACTAGAAACTTGCCCTAGACTGGTCTTGAAGGTCATCGATTTCGCACCCCCGTCCCCAACACCAAGAGAATGTGCCTAAGAGGGGTGTGACGGCTTCGGGACCGAGCTTGGCTAAACTTGCAAAGAGAGTGCTCTTTGCTGCTTCAACAGCTGTAGCGGTGCAGGTAGTCACGTCAACATAACCGAACACCGATATCAATGACGAACATCCAACACCCTTCACCCCAACGGCCCTAATCCATAATATCACACCCTTTAAGCCGCTCAATCAACTACCCAAAGATCCTAAGATAAACTCTAAACCTCAAACGCCCCAAAACCAAAATCCATCAGCCCAAACCTAAAACTTCTTAAGCCAGAGCCCGAACCTTGAAAGACGAAACCCTCAGCCCAACAGCCGTCAACAAAAAAAGACCCAACCCAAACTACAAAATCCCAAACCCTCAGCCCACCCGCAAGCCCTAACCATAACGTAAACCCTGAAGGCATTAAACCCTAAACCCCTCAAGCGCGGACAAGCCCCAAACCCTCAAGACAAGCCTCTCAATACCCTACAAAGCAGTGCCTCGCCGCTGCCGCTCCGGCAGCGCCCGGGAGTCGGGGAATCGGCCTTAAAGGGCTTGCTGTTGGTAGGGCTTAGGGGCTTAGGGCTTCACTGATAGGGTTAATGGCCTCTAAGTAAACTTGTTGGGGATGTCTTCGTTAGGGTTCTATCAATATGCAAGGCTCCCTGTACATGAATATGTCTTCTAGCGGCCTCCAGGGCGATGCAGGGTTTAGGGTCTCTAGCGGCGGCTTCCTTTCGGAAATTTCGGTCTGCCTCCCTATGATTCGCTGCATGAGGCTTATAGCATGGAAGCTCAGGGGGCTACCCCCGTTTTAGAAATGGGGTTCTACAAGGTCCAGTTTCAAAGGGTTCCCTTGGGATTAGCATCTGTGGAATCGTTGGGATTGGGGGTTCTTTTAAAACCTGATGTAAAGCGAATTCGACATGGCTATCTGCAGGGCATGGCCGGTTTGAATAGGAACCAAATTGGGCACACAAAGGAATTTCCACATAAAGATCTCACGGACGAGGAGGGACCTGGTTCTCCGGTCCAGTTTTCGCATGACGAAAAATTAATGAGATCCTTATGTGGTCTACAAAAATGAGCAACGACAAATTTTGTGAGATCTTTATGTGGTCATAGATATAGTCACATTTAGAGAGTCAACGCCGTGACCGCGTAAAGATCTTCCGAAATAGTTTTGGTGGCAAAGCCCGAGAGGTTTCCAGTTCATCATGTCATACCAAACAGTGTGGCAGCTACGCGTTTCCTGGGTGGGATCTTTATGTTTATGTGCCGTATTGAGCCCTGA